AAACCAGTGAGCCCTTTCATGTTTTTGGACTAATGGGGAAACTGAGGCCTAGGTAGAAGGCCTTCTCCAGGGTGTCAGGCCTCCCCCCAGCACAGGGCAGCCTATCTGAGCTCCCTCAGGGAGGAGGATCATCCTGATCTTCAGTCCTGTTGGGAACTGTCCTTCCTTGAGGAAACCCTACCAGGGTGCTGTGGGCAACTCAGGTGCATGCTGCCAGCATGGGCTCTCCACTGCCCCGCAGACCTGTGCCACAGACCTTTCTCAGTGCTCTCCTGAAACCTATAGTTAGGGCCACAGATAAGAGCAGAGCAAACATGAAGTCCTTTAATGGAATTGTCAACAGCGGTTCTCTGTTTATAGATAGCAGGCCAAGCGGGGACCTTGGGTGTACAAAGCAGAAGTGCTGGGCATGGGCCGCCACCTGCCTTCATTCAGCAGGGCAGCCCTGGTGGAGCCCAGGCCCTCTCTGATCCCAGCTTCTCCATCTGTAAATTGTGCAGTTCCAATGCTCTGACCTAAAAGGTGCTGGCATTCTGTGGGTTGATGTGTGAGGACAGTCAGGTATGCGGCTACACACAGAGACACGTGCGCACACACACACACAACTCACTGGGGAAGTAAGTTAGCTGTCAAGCATAGTGTTTTAAAATGTGCTTATTTATTTGGTTGTTTGCATGCTATCTCCTTGGCTGCCTTTATAAATATTTATCAATGTTGTTGCAGTGACATTTCCGGGAGGAGCTGAGAACAGGTGGGAGGAGGGGACATCAGAGAGGAGCTGACAGGTGAAGGGCCAGGCCCGAGGGGTGAGAAAAGGCAGAAGGGGGCTGATGGCAGTGATCAGGCCCAGGGGGACAAAGGGGAGCAGGGGTGACTCCCTGGTAGAGGGGCTGTGACTCGGAGACCTGGCCTAGGACCATCCGGCTGGGATACAAACGTGGGTCCCACATTTTGAAGCGTGAGGTAAGGATGAACCAGGACTATGAAGAACCATCCACTTTGTCCCACTGGCCAAGTGACCCTGGACAAGGCTCTCAGCATCCCCATTTGGAATTATCTATGAAATACTGACAGTTAGTGTTAACGCTGTATGCCAGGCACAGTTTTAAGTACCCACTTATTTAATTCTCCCAAGCAGCTCTGCAACAAGGAGCTACTATTCTCCTCACCTCACAGGTAGGAAGCCAAGGTGTTAGGAAGGAGTTTCCTGACCAAGACACCCAATTTTGAAACAGTACCAGGATGTGAAGTCAGAGCCCCTGGTTGACCCCTTGACCACTACTTAGCCACCACCCTATCCGGGAGGGTCATCTGTTTTTTAAACAAATGTTCCCTAAAGCCTGCTCCACACCCGGCCATTCCATACCTTGCTCCCGGGGCAGTAGAAGTGGCGAGGACAAAGCCCCAGGTCAGGCTTGAGAATGTTGCCGTGTGGTGAATATTTTGAGAACCCTCAGAAGGGCTGATCTTGGCTGGTCCAGGAAAAGGACTGTCCTCATTCTAGAATAGCAGAAAGAGGCCTAGGGCCTTGGCTGCAGGGCAGTCAGCTGGATTTAGCACTTCTGTGTGCTGAGAAGCAGTGAGTCCTGAGGAGGGAGGAGCTGACACACCGCTCCTCCCTAAGCCCCGCTGCTGCCTGCATAGCCCCACTGGGGTGCAGGTGGCATATCCACCTTCAGGACCTCCGCTGGGGCTCCACCCCACCCCTGCCGGGTACTCAGGCCCGAGGCTTGGTGCCATCCTTAACACCTGCCTCTCCTCTCACCCCTTTCTGGCCAGCTTCACCTTCTTGCTGTGTCTACTGTCCCCACTGGTCTGGGTCTTCTGAGCCTTTGACATTTCTCACTTCCTCACTGGGCTCCCTGCTCTGCCAGCTCCCTTCTCTCCTGCTCCCTGGGGCAGTGTCCTGGCCACACCCAAGCCAGAGCAGGCCCTGTCCCAGCTGAAGGTCGCACCATGAGCTGCACATGTCTGAGACCCTACAGCCTCCCTCCCCCACACCATGCACCTCCAGACCCAGCCTTGCGGCTCCTCTGCCAGGCATCTGTGCTGCCTTCTCTCTCTCACTGCTATCCTAATGACACCTCCATAAAACCTCTCCTGACCACGTTCCTTAAAGCTGAAACCCCAGCCAGCATTTCTGCCTTCAGTTTTCTCCATAGCACTGTGGCCTTTTGGTGTGTTCTACAACAAGGACTTTTGTCAGCTCCCCCCAGTATATGACATCCATATCAGAAGAAGAATTTGTATCTGTGTTTTCATCGTGTCCCCTGTACCTGTCACATAGGGCCCGGCACAAACCAGGAGCTCAACAATTGTCTGTTGAGCGAATAATGAATGGATAGGTGGGTGAGTGGATGGGTAGGTGAGTGGATGGGCAGATGGATGGGTGAGTGGATGGGCAGATGGGTAGATGGGTGGGTGAGTGGATGGGCAGATGGGTGGGTGAGTGGATGAGTGGATGGG